TGCCGCAGTAAGGTAAAAAAAAACTGAAGACGGCATACAAGTAAGAAGGCCAAGGACAACAATCAGAAGAGCGGGAGGAACGGTTATTCAAACTGCAGTCATGGCCGATTAATTGGATATTCACCGAACAGGATATTTTCAAAACCGGTTATCAAAAGTCTGGTATGAACGCTAAGGGTTTTAGCCGGGTTTTTGAAAAACCGGTTGAAACCGCTAAATGTAAGTCTGGTATGAACAGGGTCTAAGAACCAGGCAGAACACAGACTATCCATTGACACACAAAGGTGTGGCAAGGCTCTTCCATTCATAACAGGTCAGGGTTTGTGGAAAACCCAGGCTAAGGCCACGCCAATTTAATTTCTTGGTTAACGGATTCGCCCGCTTCGTTTTTTTCTGATTTGCAAATAAAATAAAAATTCAGAATCAACTGCAAAATGCTCATATTTTGCCCTGAACAGTTGAAAACAGTCCTTTTCATTCAAGTTGTTACAGTTATTCCATCTTTCAATGCAATGGTATCATTAAAAGTTCAAAATTCAATGTTTAAATTTTGAACCAGCCTGGTGTGTTGACTTCATGGCTCCTATCGTACCATTTTGGGCCATAATAGGATGCCTAGGCCTGTTTTTATTTTTTTTCGCCCGCCCGCTCCATTATTTTTCTAGAAAAATCCGTTAACCAAGAAAATAAATTGGTGTGGTCTCATGTATTCTTTGTGTTTCTCTATATGTGTGTACTTGACCCAGGTGCCTGAATTGAATGAGTAAGTAAGAATAAATAAGATGTTGTAAGAGGTCGTGATGGCATTCCAAAACCAAACTTTACGCAATCAGAGCTTCTCCTTTTAGAACGAGTCGAGAACAACAAACCTTTGTATGTGGTGAGTCTGTCTGCGCAGACGTTCTTAATGGCTACTGGTAGCTTTTTGGGCTGATCTGATCTGATTTCTCACAATACTATAAGCCAATCCAGTAGGTCTGATTCTTTTTGGTGTAAACAAATAGAATTTAAACAACTTCTAGATAATTAGCATTGAGGTTCAAACATTCAAACATTTTCACGTGGACGGTCCCACTTTAAAATTCATGCATTTCTTGACATGTTTGATGATTCATAACTTGAAATTAACAGTATAGTTTGATTATATACAGTAAGCCATAAAGACATGTGAGACAGAGTGATCAGAAAATAGTGCATATCAGAAAACATCCATAGAAAATGTCCAGTTAACAAAACTTGAGAACTACTTAATACCTTAATAGACTGACGTGTGGTTTGATATGTCAGATCTGAAGAAAGATGGTGGAACAGGATACTAGTAATAGTATACAATGTATTTGGAAAGCTTTCAAAGTTGTTGTTTTTTTAAGTTGGACTTTAGTCATGTGCCAGTTGACCCTTTATATTCAATCAGGGCTCAAAACATATGCACCAAGGCTTAGTGCAGGTATTTTTGTGATGTTTACCTGCACTGGTCCATGTACTGGGCTTACAGACAAATGTAGGTGCATATTTTCACTGGCACAATTGACTGTTAAACACCTATGAAGTATAAAAGAAATCTTGCAGGGGTTGAAGTCTGCCATCTCTGACACGATATGTTCCCATTTTATGATTTTTCTCCCAGATCACCGGCCTGGCTATGATAGGAGTCGGTGCGACGGTGAAGATTGCCTTTGGTGACTACTTTGACTTCACAGGGAATGCCTTCGCCTCTGCACCAGTATTTCTCATCATTCTGGGTGTGTTTGTGTCCATCATCGGCTTCCTGGGCTGCTGTGGTGCCATTAAGGAAAACTACTGCATGGTCACCACGGTAAGTCACACTACCTCATGTATGGCAAGAAACCCATTTCTTAAAGTGCTCATGACATAAAAAAATGACCTTAGCTGATTGTAATTGACATAACTAGTATTACCTGGCTAACAGACACATTTACAATAAATATGCACGGTTCTCTTGATATATTCTAAATTCTAACGCCCTACCTTGGAAAAGTCAGCACAAGCTAGTACTGGCGGGCGATTTGCATCTCTACATTTTATTTTTGCATGTCTGTATTTTTTCCTGAGCTGACGTCATCCAGTGATGTCAGCTCGGGAAAAAGCACAGACATGCAAAAATAAAACATAGAGATGCAAATAGAGATGCCCGAAGTGGGCAATTGGGAAGCTTGCTAGAGAGTCTCCAAAAATTCACTTTTAGAAGGCTGTAAAGCTCAGTTTCTCAGTCATCATGATTGGAACAAACTTCAAGTGACTATATTGTATGTGACTATATTGTATGTACAATTCAGTTTTCACAGAATTTTTTTGGTGTCATGACATGAGCACTTTAAATGTCTGGCACCAGTCACAAGTTTCCTAAAATCCAGATATTTAATAGAACTTGGCTTTATAAACTTTACAAATGTATGGTACATATTTTGTTTTTCATAAGAGCAAATATCAGTGTGAAATGAACTAGTGTATCATCTGTAGCAGTACATGTATCTCATAATTATGTGTTCTCAGCATATTTACTATATTACTGCATACCGGTACTAGTATCATCTTAAAGTTTAGTTCTTAGGACTGTCTTTCAGGATTATTGACATCCATGTTGTGCTGCCAACTGACTAAATAGATTTAAATTTGTGGCATGCGGCATGGTCAAAATCAAGCGTTTGTGGTATAATATAAAGCACAGCTGGAATATTTTCTGAAAATTCGATAAACTTTCACTCCGAAGTTATTATAGTTTTACAAGCTCAAGTAACTTAACTGTAGATACTTGCAAGAGATTTGTACATGAACGTGACAAAGTTTCTCGCTCTGCCTCCATCACAGTTTGCAGTTCTCCTGAGTCTGATCTTTATACTGGAGATCGCTGCTGGCATTACTGGCTACGTCCTGAGGAACGATGTGAGTACAACCTTCATTTGGGAACCCAGCATTAATACTACATGTATTGAAAAAGTTACTTTAGTTTTTACATGTAAGGGTGTCACTCCAGACACAAGAGATCATTATAATGTTTCTCTTAAGCCACACCAATTTAATTTCTTGGTTAACAGATTCGCCGCTTCATTTTTTTTCTGATTTGCAAAAAAAAAAAATCAGAATCAACTGCAAAATGCTCATATTTTGCCCTGAACAGTGGAAAACAGTCCTTTTCTTCCTAGTTATTAGAGTTATTCCATCTTTCAATGCAGTGGTATCGATAAAAGTTAAAAATTCATTGTTTAAGTTTTGAACCAGCCTGGTGTGTTGACTTCATGGCTCCTATCGTACCATTTTAAGCCATAATAGGATGTCTAGGCCTGTTTTTTTTTTCGCCCGCCCGCTCCATTATTTTTCTAGGAAAATCCAAGTTAGTCTAAAGTTAATCTAAGTTAGAAAATCTATTTGAACTTATAGTTCAATATCTTTGACTGTGGTTGTATTCAAGATAAAGTACTTTTAGTCTTTTTGTAACATGAAAATTATCTGCATAACCAAGCTAAGGATTTCAGTTAATTCTCTTTTCCAAATTGGAAGAAATTCATGTAGCAAAGATGGAAGTTTGGGAAGATGAAGTGCTTTTAGTTTGTTTTGTAAGTCTCTTGAATTAAGATAAGGCCACACCAATTTAATTTCTTGGTTAATGGATTTAATCCGGGCGAAAAAAAACCAGGCTTAGGCATCCTATTATGGCCCTAAATGGTACGATAAGAGCCATGAAGTCAACACACCAGGCTGGTTCAAAATGTAAACAATGAATTTTGAACTTTTAATGATACAATTGCATTGAAAGATGGAATAACTGTAACAACTAGGAAGAAAAGGACTGTTTTCAACTGTTCAGGGCAAAATATGAGCATTTTGCAGTTGATTCTGAATTTTCATTTGTATTTGCAAATCAGAAAAAAATAAAGCGGGCGAATCCGTTAACCAAGAAATTAAATTGGTGTGGCCTAAGTTGACTTATTTGTTGATGATCTACACTGCTGACATTGAGTACTTGTCCTAACGTAACATACATGTACACTTCTGTCTCAGATTGAGAATGTGATTGATACAGCCATGACCGACTTCATGATGAAATGGACCAACACAACAAAGGGCCGCCTCGCCTTCGATGGTGTTCAGAAAGAGGTACATACATCTAAGTCCAGTGTGATAGACTAAAGTTTGTAAAAGAATAAAGATATTTCTAATTCCCCTGACTTAGAGGTGTCGGACTAGGAACCTGACCAGTGGAAGAGAGTTTTAAGGCAGTCACAGTAGCAACTCAACCTAAAGGTTTCCACAAATAAATAAACCACACCTTATATACTATGTAGTATGCTGGAGGTATTCTGAGCACTACTGCATGTGTGAATGTAACCTTCTCTCCTGTTGGTAGTTTGAGTGCTGCGGTGTGAAGAACTACACCGACTGGTTTGACAAGTCGCCCAACTTCAACCCCCCCAACACCACCCGGAACGTGCCTGGGTCCTGCTGCCTCAACGCCAAGACTGAATTTGATGTGAAGAACCCGAATGATACCTGTGGGCTGAATGCTGACACCACCAAGATTAACCAAGAGGTCGGTTAAATATATATATTTATGTCGATTTCGTTCGATACGGGTGTTCCAGCCCGTGTGATAACTAGCAGTACGGCCCGGGGTTCTGAACGCGTACGGCCCCCGGGCTTCTAAATATTCCATAGAATGATTAGATTGCGTTTTGCCCTAACCGCGTACACCGCTTTCAAAAATTCGAATACAAAATTTGGATGTTGTAATTGATGTTCTTGCATTCTTTGGGGTTTAGGGACACCAAATTTTCGCTCATTTCGCATTGAAAGGCGTGTTTTCTTGGGTAGGTATGACATAAATAAGATACAACACAGTGTATTCCGCATCACCCTCGGTCCCAGCCCTCCCACGGATCGGATTTCCCTCCGGCCTTCGGGCGATCCGACGCGCGGTCGGGCTGGTACCTCGGGCGATACGGAATACCCCGTGTTGTATTCTATATATATGGGTTGCACATAAAGTACCATCTACATAGTGCCCCTGTATATGTACGATTTGGGGGTATTTCTCATGCAACCCACCACACCGCAGTGAAATGCAACAAATGCGGAAGTAACTACACCTCCGCAGGGCAAAAAAACGTCAAGGGTCTGACCTGAGATGAAATTATTAGAAAATATTGTGTAAGGAATGCCAGCAGGACAAGGAGTAACTTTACTGTTTAAACCTTAATGCTGTGTGTTTCTTTCAATAGTTACTTCCAGTGTGCATTATGTGAAGCATTGATAGTTATGTTCTATTTTTCTTCTCCACTACCATACATGTACATGTACAGGGCAGACACCACATTTGCGTTGCGCAGTAGAGGCCTCAAAATGGGAACACAATTGTAGTGCCTAGTTGATACCTTTGAAAATCCTTTTTTCTCTTGAAAGTTTTGGTCCATTTTGGAGATTTTTGGGCTGTAAGGCACAGGTAGGGTCTAAAGTTTCCTACATTGGTCAAGTTTTGTTTATTTCACCAGTTTAGTGGGCGTAATGAGAGATGTGAGTGGTTAGGTCTTGTCTGGCCAGGCGGATGGATACCATGGAAAATCAGGTCAAAGTTGAGGTTTTGTTGCTATCATCAGCTGTGGCGGGAATTTGACCTGGTCAACCCTGTTTCCTTTCGATATTTGGGAATCAGACCCTTGTGGCTACCTGGTGCAGAAAAATTTTTGAGATTGAAGTATGGGCAAGTACTTTCATGAGGACTTCTAATAGTGTATTTAAGCATGTGTTCCTATGGGCAAATCTAATAGTACTGTCTGCCCTGAAATGTTCAGTATTTAATACATGTTGCTGTCCTGCAGGGCTGTCTGTTGAAGCTGGAGGACTGGCTGGCTCACAACATCCTCATCATCGGAGGTGCAGGGATAGGAATAGCCTTCATACAGGTGTGTTACTTAACTCTTCCAGTTATGTTAGTGAAAGTGATTTGTGATACTGGTTTGTTAGTGAAAGTGACACCTGTATCTGTATCTGTATAGCTGGTATAACTTTTGGCGTAACACACCAGCTTCGCACATGTGATACTGGTAAGTTTGTCAGTGAAAGTGATATATGATACTGGTAAGTTTGTCAGTGAAAGTGATATGTGATACTGGTATTAAAGTTTGTTAGTGAAAGTGATGCGATACTGGTACGTTTGTTAGTGAAAGTGATATGTGATACTGGTTTGTTTGTTAGTGAAAGTGATATGTGATACTGGTAAGTTTGTAGGTAAAAAGTGAAATGTAATACTGGTAAGTTTGTTAGTGAAAGTGATATGTAATACTGGTAAGTTTGTCAGTGAAAGTGATATGTGATACTGGTTTGTAAGTGAAAGTGATATGCGATACTGGTTTGTAAGTGAAAGTGATATGTGATACTGGTTTGTTAGTGAAAGTGATATGTGATACTGGTTTGTAAGTGAAAGTGATATGTGATACTGGTTTGTAAGTGAAAGTGATATGTGATACTGGTTTGTAAGTGAAAGTGATATGTGATACTGGTTTGTAAGTGAAAGTGATATGTGATACTGGTTAGTTTGTGAAAGTGATATGTGATACTGGTTTGTAAGTGAAAGTGATATGTGATACTGGTAAGTTTGTTAGTGAAAGTGATATGTGATATGAATATTGTATTGTTCCAGGTTGTTGGAATCATCTTTGCCTGCTGTCTGATGCGCTCCATCAAACAGGAGTATGAAGTAGTTTGAGTCACGTCCATCTCCAGACCTGCCTTCCTGAGAGATTCAAGTTCCAGTCTTATATCCTAAGCTATGGTTTTACGAGGCAGTAAAAGTTTATTGACATATCTTTGCAAATTGCTTACGTAGAATTGTGTTGCTGTAATTTTAGGGCTGAAGAAACAGGGCAAGAAGTATAATCAGATTCAATTTTGGTTGCTTTTTATTAGAAAACAAATGGTGTCCAAAGGTAGAACGTTGTTTGGATGCCAAAATTGATATCGGCCTTTCCTATCAAACATTTCAGAACAGTCATACCAGAAGATAATGTTTCATCCAAATGAAATTTTCAAAATTACATGTGCAAAGTGAAGCAGGATCTAGATTAGATAATAATGTTACTGAATAACCTGCAAAGTAATATTAGGTTACATGTCAGTGACTTTTTTGACATGAGGTTCAGAGGATTCAAATGTTTCTATAAGATTTTTTTGGCATACTGTAAATAAAGTACTAGTGCTTTTAATTGCTCAGGGAAAACCATAATTGCATTTTAGGATCTTAAATGGTAAAGGGACCAAATATTTTCCTGCCAAAGATCGTCAGATTTCAGCATCATAACTGATTCACATCTTCTCATGTTTTCCCAGAATTGTTGTTTGAAAGTGACATTGCACAGGTTATGTATAATGTGATACCATCACTAATAAAGAGTTCTCTTGATTTTTTATCAAGACAAGTAACAAAATAGTGTGTATTGGTCAAGCCTGTAGCCGGGATTTTGAACGGGGGGGGTTCTTCCCACTACT